TCCGACATTTTATTTCTCCTGTCAAAAAATATTGGAAATAAAAAAAAAATACAAGCGACAATAAAAAATTTAAATCAATACAAAATGACAGCATCAAAAATTGACAATATGGATCATATTTATTTACCTAAAAACTTTTTAAATATTTTCAATTTAAAATATTTATTCATTTTTAATTAACAATATGAATGATAACTATTCTTCAACATTCTATTGCTTTCTCCAAAATTCATAAACATCCTGAGCCTAATTAACAACCATTGTTCCATCAGTTAATTTAACAATTTATATCACTAACTACTACAATATCTTCATGCTTCAAATAAAAATTTCAATCGACACATCAAATCAAAACCATAAAACAGTAATAAAACTTCAAGCAAATATTGTCTCCAAAGCTGCAAAAATATCGTCCGATTTGTTTTCCTCTGGAAGATTTGATATTCTGTAACACGAACTGGTCAACATCATCATACCATATAATATCATATGAAGTCCCAAATGATACAAATGTAGCAAGGGATGGGACTCAATATATCAACCAAATCTCCAGAGGAGTATCTTTGATACTCCCTTCACAATAATACTTGTGATGCATCGACAAGTATTCGACACCCCACTCAAAGCTTCATTCGTCTGAATTTTCTCAGTGGATGCACCCTTCTCCAACCACCCGAGCGGCAATACATTTTCGACGATTCATTAATTGCCGACCTTGTTAGCGAAGCATTGTGCACGGGCGTTGGTCCCGTGGTGGTACTCCAGAGCCACCAAGAGCGTCCTGCCTGGCCGCATTGTCATGCATTCGAGCCCAACACATAATAATACCGAGATCCTTTGTCGCTAACGCCCTCACAACTCCACCAGACCATCTCCCAGCTCTCTTTCTCTATTCTATTGCCATGCATTGCTTCTGTCTTGCAGAAACACCGCTTGTGTCCCACCTTCATATGAAATCCAACCAAGCTCTAATCCAGCTTGTTCATAGACGCGCGCGCCAAGGTAAATATATTTCATCATTGCGAGCACCACGAAATAACATGAAGGTGCGTCGCTACGGTCGTTGAGGAATATTGTTCCTGGTGCTCGTAAAGTTGCCATGCTCACCCACGTGGCTATTGTCCGGTGCACGTCATTGCAGCCTAGAAAGTTTACGTGCTTCAACCTCGCTAATGCATGAGACAAAGATACGCCTGTTATAAAAGAAGATTTGTTATTAATTTATTCCATTTTTGTAATCAAAGTTGAAATATTTTACTCTCACCAAGTTCACTTTATCTTATAGTCCTACATGATACATGAATCATTTTCAGGTTATTGTGTTGGAAAAAATAATTTAACAATGATTAAAATCTTTTTATAAATAAATTTTATCTTGAATTAATTTTATAATAATAGTTGTGATGAATGTCAACTTTTAAAAGTGATTTATTAAACATATTTGGCAATGCTAACTATTTATAATTTAAGTTTAAATTAGTCTAAAAATATGTTACGTAATGGATTGTTAATAAATCATTTTATTTCATTTAGAGAATAATAAAAATAATTATAATGTAAATTTTGTCACATCTCCAACTTTTATAAATTCATTATCATGATCAAATTAAACCTGCACACTCGCATAATTGAGTTTAATTTTGACACTTACTATTAACATTTTTTTTTTTAATGACCTAATTGGACTCCTACATATCAATACATTAATTGACGTTTTCATTCACCACTTACTGATGTTAATTTATTTTACAACTTCATTTGAGATGTCGAAAATATTCTGATTGAATTTTTTTTTAATTTTGTGTTCGATGATTAAGTCATATTGATTGATGATTAATTCATCAGCTGTGCAATATAATTTTGAAAATCATTTCAATCATTACAAATAGTTTGACAGCACGTGGGCTATTAAATGTATTTAAATTGAAAGTAAAAACTAATTATAATCCCGACGAGAGGAACGAAAACATCTCGAGGATATTTCTAGTATTCATAAATGATGACAAAGCTATTTTATTTAATTAAGAAAACAATACATTATTTTTATTTAAATTTATTGCACTCTTCACTTTAATAAATTAATTGAAATGATATTAAACACATGTTCAGAACATTGTCTTGGTAAATAAATAAAAGTGGCATTATTTTTATTTTATTCGTTGGAAATAAATAAAGTAAAAATTGAGCAAAGACGAATGAGAATAGCAGAGTAGATATATAATACATGAAGCATCGCAATGAAATTCTCAGGAGATGTTTCGTTAGTGACACAGTGTCACTGTGTCCAATTGCTTGAATTCTGAAATGTAATCACAAGTATTAGACAAGACTGTCTGGTTGATGTTATGGAGAAATCCTTAATTATTCCATCCTGAAGCTTGATGCTTACAGATAGATCCAATTCCACCAAACATTTAGCAGAATTCTTGATTTCAAATTCACAGTTTCTCTCTATAAAGCGTATTACTAATGAATTTAATGTACCCAATTGGCAAGCATTACTTTAAGTAGTTCATGAATGATGGACAGAATAATTTATAAGAAACAAATTCCAACTTTCTAATAAAATCTTAGCTTTGGAGCTTGAGTGTGACCCCGATGATGTGCTGTAGAGTTACGTCATTAGAGTGCAAGTAGAAAATAAAATAAAAGGTAGAGGAATACAGTTAAAGAAAAAGGTAAAGGTGAATCAGGACACTTGATTCGTTTGACGATGGGACGATGATGCTCTGACAAGGGACAACTGGGCCAATCGATAGCAACGCAGCAGCGTCAACGGCATCCAAGTACCGAGTTTGAAGCAAATACGTCCAAATAGAGAGGAAGAGAGAGGATGAAGGTGGTTGTGTTAGTGTGGTGAAAAGCCAGTTTTGCAAGCCCACCGTGGCGCTACCGTCGTTCATTTCTACACAACCCCATGATTCTGCAAAAGCTTTCTTATGACCTGCGCATTGATATCAAACAGTATCGTACCAACAGCAAATCAAATGTTGTTCGTTTACGCGAATTTCTCGGTCTTTTTCGATTTTGTCATCTCATTGTCGCTCTCAACGACCTCATCAACCTAGCAATTTCAATCTCCAATCTTTTAAGTGTCCTTGAACAAAAACAACACAGTCACGCTTGCCTCATTTACTCGGCTAGCGTCCAATCACTTCCAGTGGCATCACTCTGGACCAATTCCTCCTTCCCTTAACCTTCAAGCCACGAGGATTTTTGTCTTCTATATCAAATAACATTTTGAAAATGTCTTCTCTTTTGTGATTCTGGTGATTTTATCTGAATAATATTATTTGATTTTTGTGTATTTATTTTCACTCGGTGATAAAATTTTATTCTCGTTCACGAACCTGAATAAAGATGAGAGTAAAAAACTCGACTCGTGAGCAGGACATGTTGTAGGTGTTTCCACACGCGCCAGGATCTTTATCACACGTATAGCTATAAAAACAAACTATTAGCATTTCAAACATAAACAATCAACTTTTGTTTTTGCATTTAGTGTGATAATTATTATGCACGTTAGGATGTGTTTGGCATTTTTTCCTTGAATTTGTTAATCATTATTGCAAAGTAGACATTATCATGTTGCACCACCAGTTTTATGCGCATGAAGATGTGGACCGTGTTGGTGAGTACAATTATGAAAATAATGTCATACTTTTGATGTATTCTTATGCTAATTATTTAGCATTATGATAAAACATAACATATCACATGTAAACTAATTTTATGTATTTACAGTTTTCATTAAATTAAAATGGCAAATATGATTAATAGAGTATTTGTTGATTCATTTGAGTGAATGAAGTCGAGTCATTATTCATTATCATATTGTCTTCTCATTTGTTCATAGGCTGTATATAAGAGACAATACAAATAACGCGTGTCACGTAACGAGTGGTTAGGATAGACGAGACATCACTACGAACTGTTACTCTACAAAGCTCTAGTAACGAATGCTTTGTGATACCTGATGCTTTTTGATTCCATATGAGACAAACATTTGGCACCAAATGATACAAAGAATATCCTTCAATCATTGATCTTAGTATTGAAGTATTTTTTTTAAGTCAATTCAGTTTCTCGAGGCTTCTCTACTGAATATAAACGCGAGATGATATGTTTTTTAATATTCAGTATGAATATTTTTTTTGTTAAAATCTCAAAACATCGTGGTATTTTTTCTCTTAATGTTATTGCTGAAGTTATCATTTGTACTTAATTTGAATAAAAATGTATCTTTGATAGAAATAACAATACTCCATTGCTTTCATGACTTTATCAATAATTTTCTTCATGAATTTTTTATCATTTAAAACTTTCTATTGTGTTGAAATATTTTATATCAATTGTTAAAATTGTTTTAATTTAAAAATAATATATTCAAAAAAAAAAATAAGAATTATGATCTCTTCTGAGTATCATTAAAAGTAGATCTAATACTTTTGATTGCTTAAAAAATATATTTCTATTGACATAAAAAGATATAATTTACATGACCACATTGGCGGTCCTAAAATAAACATCAATCATAATTAAAATGTACTTTGAACATTTCGTCCTTGATCAATGTTTTTTTTATGGTGAAAAAGGCACAAGTTATTCCAGACATGAACGTACCTATTTATTTAATGTATGCAACTTAGATCCCGGACAGAAGCGCTGAAGTGGTGGTCCCTTGTAGCTCGAGATTATATCAAGTCCTAGCAGCTCTTGCTGTACAGGAGAGTCCCACGCAGAATTTAAATTCAGCCAAATGCATTACGAGGAAAATAAAGGGAAAGTGCGAAAGAAATGTAAAAAAGGAAAACAAAATTCTTTTTACATTGTGACTTTTGAACTAAAAGAACTGTAATAATGTAGATATATCTACAACTAGCATTTAAACATGAAAGAAATATGAATTATGAATAGATAATTTATTTAGAGATATTTATAAAATAATTTTCTAATTATTTTTATCGCTTCGAATATTAATTTTAAAAAATAATGCCAACTTTTAATTCATACTTTTTTTTATTTAAATATTTTATGAATAATTATTAGACATAATTATTACAATGCAGCTGCACAACAAACAGAACCATCAGGGCAATCATCAACATCAACTTTTTGTGTCATGAAGTCATCACAAGAATCCATACATTCCCCTTGATAATGGCTACATTTGTTTCTAAACTCTGTATTAACTGCAAAAGTATTCAATAAAATTTTAGAACATATTGACTCAAAGCTGCAGATGGTATTTTTTTTTTCTAAATACTTCAAGAAAAATAAATTCAAGTAGTAATTATCACTTACCCATTAAACAACAAACTTGAGTTTCTGTGTCGCATCCTCCTTCGGCTTTTGTATCCATTATATCACACACGGAAGAAGAGACACAGTCGTCCGGATGGCAGGTATATCCTCCAACAACTTAAATCGATATTACAAATATATATTATTTGATTATTTATTATCAACCTACATTTTTGAATGATATAACAAGTCAACTATTTTTGTACTGACCTGAAGGATAGCTAGAAAAATAAATTAATGAAATATTTATCAAAATAATCCAATACTTCATTTTTATTTATTATCACTGTTCTTGTCACAAAAAAAATTCTAAATAGACTAAATTTAATGCAGTCTAGTATTATATAAGTGAATAAATGTGTTATAATATTTATTTACAACGATAAGATACATGAATTGCCAAGTTATTAAAAATGTGGGAGTTTATCAATATAATAACTGTAATTGCATAATTGTAAACCACTTGATAAAATTGGTGTAAATTTTTTTTTCAGCAACATTTTTAAATATAACTTTGATAAGATAGTCACTTAGTCGTATATTTTCAATTTAATAATTTTTTTTATTCACATATATTTCTAATTTTCTTGATAAAGAAATTAAAAATGAATTAATTAAAACTCTTTTTTTATTTAAGTACAAAGTTATTATTATTTGATGAGGTACTTAATTTTTCTGACCACATTAGAGAGCAATGATTGATTATTGATAATTTCCTAGATATAAATAATTAAAACAAAATAATCCTGTAAATAAATTGGTATTTTCTGAAATCTTTTTTGCACTAAAAAATGACGTGTCCAGAGAAAGGAGGTGAAATAAAAATGATGTTGAATAGACGTCAAATAATTATCGTTAGTGAATTGTTCTCCTTTTATAGCATACACAACACCACTTGATTTCAGCTGTGGATATTCCGAGTACCTGAAATGCACGAAAACAATGAGAAAATAAGTCAGAGAAAGAGAAGAATGTGGATTTGTTAGGTAGGATAGAGAGAATGAGGGTTTATTGTTAGCCACTAACCAATATGTCTGTCGCGAAGGCGCATTGTACTTTAAGCCAGTAGCTCGTAAGCAAATTAGAATGGTGCACGTGGCCAGCATAAGTTGAGCCCAGTGTCTATTCCTCTAAAGGGGTGATTTGGATTTGTAAGCTGCCTTACTCTGAGCATTTCATCCCTTCTAGACTGCCAGACTGATGATGCCTCTCTGTTTGCCCTGAGGCAGAGACCCATCGACAATTACGACGCTTTATTGGGTAGGGTTGCGTGTCGTTCATGGAATTAATGCAATTCGCAAGAGAGCCTTGCGCCACCATTACTACTTCCCTCAACACGCGAATCCTTCCTTCCTACAATACTGATAGCAATTCACTGAAATAGACATTTGCCCACTGATCATTCGATTTTAATTACTTTTAGAGCTAACGGCATTCCGATAATGCTATAGAATGTATAGATATATACAGATCACTAGCTGAAAAATCGATCAATGCTCTTAATAAAAAAAACATCCTAGCTCTATTCGATGAGTGAGTAAAGGCATTACTCTTGCTTTTGTCCTTGTTCGTTTACGTCTTTCTTTAACTTGATCCGTGACTTAAACGAAAGATAAAGGCAATAAAATCTATCGCTCTATCAGTCTGCACACTTTCAAGAAAAGGATTTCGAAGAAAGAAATAAAGAAAAAAATTGATAAGTGTTTGTAGTACATTTTTGCTCGGATCTGAATCGTTTTCACTGCTTGAATCAACCTCACCCCTATAATAATATGTTCTTTGGTGCGTGTTAGTCGATCGTAAGTGCATTCGCGTGAGAATATCCATAGTTGCACCTTTCTATTTTACTTCAAATTTATTTTTCTCTTGAATTATTTTCCTTTTAAACAAAACCACTGTATACCACGTCGCTGTGTTTACTGCATCATACAAGTGTAATCATTTTCAAGTGAATTCAATTTCTGACCATTTAAACTCTAATGTATGTGTACATTTAGCTGAATTGACGGTAAATAAAACTTCAAGTGTCGTGTGTTTGTACACACATCATTCGCAGAAATGTTTTACTACTTTTTTCTCTGTGATAAAAAAATTATTTTTTCTGCATTTATTAGAAGTGAATGATTTAATGTTTCAATTAAGTACTAAATGTTTGACTTTGAACAGTTGATTATTATTTCGAGAAATTTCCATGGATATTGTTATTATGGATTTCTGGATATACTCGTATCCACCTTATAATTATCGAATGAAAGAAGTATGTTTAATCATTTTAAAGCCTGACTCCTCAACCCCTGAGCTCATTATTCATGGAGTTTTTCGACCTCCATGCGATTCTGAGTCTTTACCAGAGTATAATAAATATGTTTATGGAATTAAATATGCTTTGTATGGTATTCCATGGGATCGAGGTCATCTCAATGTTGAAGAACAGTCTAATTTCTTAATAACACAGCTACAGAATGCTGATAAAATTTTTGTTAAAAGTCGAAGACACAAAGATGAGTTGTGCCAGGTGATTGGACATTTCAAACAGGAATATATTATTTGTTTGACTGATGTTGATAATTTTGAGGATAAAGTTATTACAAAAACCAGTTGCATTTATCATAATTTTCCTCGCGAAAATTACTGTGTTATAGATAATGCAAAATACATGAGAGATTGGTTGCTCAATTTTTCAAATTATTATTTGATATCTAAACGTAAGCATGAGTCTGATGATGATAATGGCAACGAACGTCCATTGAAAATGATCAAACTTGATGGATCAAACAATAATTAGAAAAATGAAAGTTTGATAATGATTTATATTATTTCAAAGATAAATCCTAAATATTTCTAGAGATTTCTAGAAAAGCTAAAAATTGACGAAATTCTTGGGATGAAAAATAGCAAATATTTTCACTAGGGTGAATTAACTTATGAGGTACTTATTTCTGTATTTACGAACAATTTTCATATTTGTGCTATTTATTCCCCCCTAAATGACACTAATGAAGACAATTTATCAGACTCTTTTCACAATATAACTCTGATTTTATTTATATATGTTCTCGAGGGATAAATTTGAGAGTCAGTATTGTCAACTTCTCTATTCGTGCTCTATCGCTCTCATTAGTAAGCCTCAGTATAACAAACAAGACTTGTCTGAGTAGGCAGAGTGTGGCTTCCAAATTTAGAAATTATGCTAATCACCTCGCTGTCATTACTGAAAGCCACATTGAGGGTTTCTTGCAAATTTAACCCTAAGCCTTTTAAAAATTCATCGTTAACATTATTTTATTTATTCATTCGCACTTAAATGTCATTCTTTTTTATGAAACTTAGGCTGTTAAACGATTTAAAAAGTCTCCAAGATAATCAAACAGTCCTTTGAAAAAAAGGAAAGTGTCACATTTGTTATAAAAAAAAATATGAAACGATCATTGGTGAGCATAAAAAACAGGAGACAGTGCTGGGATATCTTGTGCGAGTCGAATGGTAGGAAAAAAGTGATAGAAAAAAGTTTGAAAGTAGACAAAATAAGAGTGAAGCTTTTTATCGTGGTCGATCTATGATTTTTTTGCTATTGCCTTATCACGACTAGCTTCGCCGGCACATTAATGCAAGAGAGTGTGCTCGTATCTGATTACCCGCAAGGTTTACCGAAGTCGAGAATAGTTAGGGTCGGCAGAATGTTGGAGAAACGATGGAGAACAAGGAAAAGAGAAAGGGAAAGACTATCATACAATAGTTTAAAGAGCAACTGAGTAGGAAAGTGCGCCTCTTATTAACACTACAACCATCTTTTTTACTATCTGACGAGTCAACGTGTTTCTTATCAAATTGAGAATTGTTAAATCCACAATATACATTCACTAGATTTCATTCTACTGAGTAAATAATATCTAAAATTCGTGTATGCATTGTAATCAGTTGATATTTTTTAAAACTTGTAGTTAAACATTTTTTTTTTAGATGTTAAACTTTTTTCTAATTAAAGAAATAGTATTATTCATATAAAAGTGACGATCAAGAGGTACTTTGAAGTGACATTTTGAATAAGACGATCTTTAAGCACTTTGAAGAATTCCAGAGCATCTTTTATGGTCCGTATCATGAAGATAGTGATTAAACGACACCGTAGATAATTTTGAAGTATCATTTATGTTTTACGTCTCGACGATGATAACTAAGAAAATTTCTTAATTAATTACGGACTTTAATCGCTTTATAAAGATTTAGTTCCATCACTTAATGGGTAATCAATTGATATAAATGATTATCAATTAACTATATTTCGAGAAAATTGTTAAAGTAATTTTTTTTTAAATGTATCAAAACGTACAAATATGATAAAATTACGAATTTCAAAAATCGATCCAATTACAATAACTTTCTAATGGAAAGTTAAAAATCCTCTGAATCACTTTTTTAAAGGAAAAAAGAATTCTCTCTCCATCTACTAAATTTCTTCTCAACGCTCTCGATTCAATTAAGCAACTTTTTTTTAACGCACATTAATTTTTATAGCATTTAAAAAATTTTATCCATCTCATGATCCAGTTAGTCTATTTATTAGCCTATTTACCCTAATTTGTTTTATCTTCACTGCCAATTAAATGTACTGAAGAAAAAGTATCTCTTTTCTCAATTCATTTCTTTCCTCTATCATCATCATCATCATCTGCACCCTACTACTTCTTTCGTCGCCATCATTTCACTGTCTGGTTGTCGTAAGCGGCGCCTTGCGTTTTCCAACTCTACACTTCACTTCTTGTAACTTGAGTTTCTCATACCCGATTTACTTTCAAACAACTCCGTTACGCATTCCCCTTCAATAATTCTAGTATTATTCCAACGATATTATGCTAAATATTTGGATAAAGCATGAAAGACAATAAATTCTAGAAGAGCTTTAGAGTCAATCAAGAACATGAGAATAGCACACAACAATATATACAATTTCACTTTGTTTCCGGGTAATATCTGTCAAACCAATTACTAGTAAGTGCGCTTCGCAATAGTGTCAATATACGAAGTTCTATTACTTTCAGCAAAACGTAATGTACTCAATACTACTACCACAATGCAATAATACAGTCAATGCTTCTACCTCAACGATAAAATCTTATTGTTGTGAATTACCTATTCAGTCAGTACATATTACTTTGTATGTTGCTAAAAAAATAATAAAATTCCGCTTAATACCAGCTATCTTTAAAGCTGAATACACAAAACAATGGCTAAATCCTATATGAACATCAGGTGTTGGAGACAAACTAAAACTACTGCTGTCATTTGATATAAAAACGATTGTTGTTTAATCAGGAATACTTTTCACTAAATAAAACCACATTCAACTGTATTGTTTTACACTCAATGTAAATACTCGATACTCCCGTAATGACAATGAAGAAATAATTACAGAGCCATTTCAAATGTTTATTTATTATTTCAACCAATTTCCCATTATTTCATCATTTAGTTGGTTGTTTCCGAAATTAAAAAAAATTATCAAATTTCATTGATTTGATTTATCTCTGTTTTGAATCGTCGAATTTAAACGTTTCAACACTATAATATTTTTTTTTATTTGGTGGAAAAATCTGTATGCCTCAATGAACTAATTAATTCATTGACGCTCTAATTATTGTCAATAACATTCCGATAGTTCGATTGGTTCTCACAACATATCAATACGTGTATTTACAGTTTGACCGGTCACCAACTAATATCGATTATTGTAATTATAATGGCATGTAAGATGGTAAATAGACGGTTGAATCTACCAAATCAAGCGTATCGAATATTTTCGGCAATAAATTTCATCATTTTAAATATTAAAACTGTATAAACATTTTTTTTTGTACTTGTTGCTTTGAATGAAGTACATTAAAATATAAAACAAATAACGTACGGTCTGATATGAAAATTTTATTACAAAATAAACATACCGAAAGAGTATTTGGCTTGTTTAAGAGCTGTAAAATGAAAATCTGTATGCTGCATAGTATTTTTTTGTTTTGTTTTTCGCAATGCAGGAGAAGAGTCTTATGAGATGATAATGCATTAAACATCTGCAGGCCGAATTTGCGAATTATTTTCTATTCTAACTTGTTACAAATGTATGTATGGACTTTACATTAATGAACAATGAGAAAGGTTTAACTGGGAGAACCGCGTTTAACTCGATTTCATATAAAATGGTTCACGTTAATAAGATTCGCGCGTTGAACAAAAGCCCCAACGTTACGTAAAACAGATTACGTGACGCAAATGCACAATTCACTATTCTCCGCACCAGAGGACCTGTGCCAATTCGACGAGGACTAGATGCGAATTTCGGTCGTAGCGCAAATCCGCTTGGTAATGCACCAAAGCTGAAACTGAATTTACTACCTTCACCACTCAGTATATATCTGATGTCTTTTTAGTGAAATCTATCAAGATCTCATTATCTTCAATGAGACCTTTAATTATTCTTCAATCTTAACGCTTTTTGCATTCAATTCAGAACATAATAAGCATTTCTCTCTACATTTATTGAATATTTTATGAATAAAATTATTATTACTACTCATTATGTTTTTTTAGAGGATTTCTAATCTTGTGAAAATTCGTGAGTTCTTTTGACTAAAATCACAAAGGTACTTTCATTAGAAGATAAAAAATCATTTTATTCTTCCTGAAATAGTTTTTAATAGAATTACCCTTATGAAAATATTTCTCTATATTTTATTTTAAGATCATTGCCAATAGAACTGAACGATTATTATCATGATAAAAGATAATACTTTGATTACTTGAAAGGAAAATTTCATATGCAAATTAAATAAAGCATTGCTAAATTGTTCATCAACTCATGTCTGGAAAATTTATTATCTTTTTCTAATATGAACTGAAATTGATCAAACATGATTAAACAAGTAACAATTAAAGCAATGTTGGTAAATGGCTTCTTCGAGTATCTTTTTCTTTCTTGTACATTATTCAAACAGCAACAAATTTGTCTGCATGTACTTCTTAACCGGGGGGACAGTTTTAAGCACGATAAATACGAATTGAGAGTATTGCATGAAAGCAGGGAGAACTACAAAAGTAATCTGGACCTGGGCCAGGAGCTAATTCTCTACAGTTTGAGTTGATGAAGCGAATGAGACCATTCCAACGCGAAGCTAGTTAAACTTCAGCCACTTCTATTTCCGGTTTGTATCTAATAGTGGTTGGTATTGGACCAGCCGGTGTAGGAATGTATTCCTATTTATCTGGTCTATTGTATGAAGCAAAAACTGAAATTTGTAACACACCCAGTGTTGTATGTATGTAGATAAATTTTCCTTGTCTCGATCCAACAACAACTATACCCAAAGGCTTATCCGACTAGACAATTTTAAAAGGATTTGTATCCAGAGCAAACTTCTGTGATACTCACTTATTAGAAGTGATGATCCACTCGAAAGTTTTGCCTTGTGTTTCAGCATAAATCCCTCCTTGACGAAGTATCTGCCGAAAGCAAAAGTATTGAAGAACTACACTATTTACCAAGCATATCCTTCATGTTTCAACTTACAAATCCTTCCATCTGTATTCTCTTTCCAATTTACCTGGCATCTGCTATAAATTTAATAAATCATCGTAATCACAAGGGTTAAATCCTTTGGATCGATTATACAAAGCCACACAGGTAATGCATCAGAAGCTGGAATAGACTTCAGTAGAGCATATAACCTCCATGGAATGTTGTATCTCGGATCCTTTGACGGCTGTCAGCCTAATAAACATTCATTATGTAATTGGTCAAGTTAATCAAGACAACCACTCAAGGACTGGTGTAAAACAGTAGCAGAGATTGGAATGATGACTGATCAGGTTATTGACCAAGATGGCATATAGAGAATGACAACTGGATATCTATAGGAAGACTAAAATGTTGAAAAAGGTATCTGACATTATTACACCAGAGTCCTATCATCTTGGAGAACTGAACATCAAGTTTCATTTTTATTTCAACATTCTGCTGATGGTAGAGAAAAGGGGATTTCAAAAGCTTTGGAATCATCTGACAGAGCTTGTAAAATAAACTTTAGAAATTTTATGAATGTCATTTGAAGACTCTTGTATTTTTTAGCCAAAAGCATCCATATTCTGATAATGTGCAGTGGCACGATAAATAGCACGTGTAAATATAGTGTTCGGTCTAATGAACGAACGTATAGTTATGTGCGATACTCTGACTATTTGCCAGTACAATAATTTATGTGTGACGATCGATCATAACCCAGAGGGACTGACGTGGGTAGTGTTGTCTAGGTATTAAAGCCACAATTATGCTCT